ATGGTCTGCATGGGCGGCATCTTCAAGTACTTCGAGCTGCTGCTGATGTCAACAGTTGCATTGTCTTTTTGTAGTTTTGTAGTAGCTGTGTAGGAGTAGGCTGGGCGCTGAGCGCCAAGTGTGAGTGTAAGGGAACTGGACTCGTGTATTGAGGGAGAGAGTGAGCTCTCCACGGACATTGGTTTTCAGTACTATAAAACTCCATTGGTGTATTGTTGGTGCAATGCTGCTATCTGGACACGGTGCGACTAGTTGAAATTGCAATGTGATAATGTGATCTGGGATTGTCCTCTTGCTGTTGCTTATTTTCCTTGCATATATAAAAACAAAACAAAAAAAAAAGATGTCTAGATTTGTTCTTACTACATCCTTTTCTAGGATGGATGCCTATCCATGCACCGATAGCAATATTGGATAGGAGGTAAAAATTGCAACAGTGTTTGAGCCTTGTTGTTTACATGAGAATTGGTAGGCCCTTGAGGGGCCCCATTTCCATGGCACCAAGACATTGTGCGCTACCTTCTTCTCCTGCGCATAACGCCCCAGCATTATGACTGCATTTGGACAGGAACAGGTTTTGTATACATTCATGATGATGGGGAATTACTTTTGGGGAAGAAGGTAGCCTTATCGATTCCCTATCCCCATTGATGACTGAGAAAAAACAGGGCATTCTCCATCAGCCTTGCCCTAAACCTGTGTTCGCTCCATCCACACGGAACACACGGCAGCAACCGTGTGGATTTTGATTTTCCCAATGACCTGTTTGAAAACTATCGCTGTGGTACTGATGGAAAAAATTCCGAAAAATCAAATTCCACAAAATAAATGATAGACTCAATGGTTAAGGAAGACCATAACTCTTTGTCACTGCTCTTACTGAAACTGCAGTTATTTGCCAAGCCAGTGGGTTGAAAGCACGTAAAGTGGCGAACGTGACAAACGGCGTGCTGAGGTGGAAGAAATGGCACGCCACAGACTGAGATACAACAAGACCTGATGCCCCGACAGGGACTGGGGAAGTGGTACAAAAGTTACTTTCTTGTAATTCTAGCTACTTCCTGTTAGATTCGACAGGTTCACAGGTGGGACCTGAGAGAATTTCATGAGAAAGGCAAGCTGACAGTCAACCCTCCTTAGGATGGAGCAATCAATGCTGGGCCAAATGGAATTCCGCATGAGTGGGTACATTTGTTGTGTTCAAATTTCAATATTTTGACTTGCCGGTGGAAAGGAACCGGACTGACGCTCCCCCGAATGGACATGGAGCCAGGACCATAAGTACCTGATTTAAGCAAAATTAATTAAAAAAAAGAAAAAGAAAGAAAAGAAAGAGAAGAAAGAAAAGAAAAGAAAAGAAAAAGAAAGAAAGAAAACAACTAAAGCAATGGGTGAGAGAGATTAGAGGTCACTTACTTGCGTTATTAAATCATTGCAGATCTCACGCATAAGAATGACCAGCCTAGCTGCAGTATTGTAGTACTTGGAGTTCTTCCAGATTAACAAGATGCAATGCAAGATCGGTCGAAAAAGGCTTGGAAGCCCTGCAATATCTGCCATTGTGCTCAATTTCTCAAAATAAGGCTGCAGTGGCTTCAAAAATTTGGTATCTGTTTCCAATCCGCAGGGAGAAATGAACACATCAACCACACCAACAGCACCACTTCCGTATCACATCTGTCTGAAATGTGCAATTAATAGTCAAGAGCCTCATTTAGTCAATCGTGCTCATCTCACTTCAATCATGTTCGCTAAAAGCAAGTTAAATTGGTGAGAAGCTAGACTACCATACAGGCAGCACGGCTGGCAAAGTTAACCGGTGAGAGATCTGGGCTGGCCAGGTCTGCCACCTGCTCAGCCTTCAGGACGACCCAGACCAAAATCACTGTTTGCGGCTGGGTCGATTTTGACCCAATAACGTCCAGATGGCTGCACGAGGTCCTCCGCATCACAGACTGAAACAAAATAAGCGGGGATCTACCAGTCCCACTCTTTTTCTCTCAAGAACTGGGTCGTTGGTCTTCCATGATCCTTGGCCCACATTCCATCCATAGCCTGGTTTTGACGAGGACAAATTTGATTCTGAATGCACCACTGTTTTCTACCACAGACTCACAGGAGTGCTGTCATCCCTGCATTGTTGTCATCACCATTTGTTGGCGTTGGTCCCCACTCCATCACCGCTTCTCCTGCGCTATCACCATTGAAATGGAGAACTTCTCCTTCTCCTTTTCTCCTCCTCCTTTTCCTCCTCCTCCTCCTTCTCCTCCTCCTCCTCCTCCTCCTCCTCCTTCTTCTTCTTCTTCTTCTTCTTCTTCTTCTTCTTCTTCTTCTTCTTCTCCTCCTCCTCCTCCTCCTCCTCCTCCTCCTCCTTGGGCCCACATGAAATGCTCACACAGTTGCAAATTCGAGATAGCAGGTCAACACCATTTGCACTATTGAATTCAAAGTGAAATTCCCCACTCTGAAACCCTGTCACTTGCCAATACAGCAAGATGCAAACCAGAATTCAACACAGTCTTCATTGAATTCAAAGTGAAAATCCCCACTCTGAAACCCTGTCACTCACGAATACAACAAGATGCAAACCAAAGTTCAACACAGTCTTCATACAATACAAACTCCAATGATAACAAACATGTCTCCTTCTCCATCACCAAGGATCTCGCCCTGAACATCAAAGAATTGTTCCTCCTTGTACTCCACACTCCAGCTCTAGAAACGCCCAGAAAGAAGAACAAAAATCAGCCGCTACAGGATGGCTGCATGATCGTTCCTCTACACTAGCTATGGCCGCCCTTCTTCCTCGGTCGTTTCCACAACTGCGCACTGTACATTTTCCTCAAAATGGTGCCCTCAATAAGCTGGCCGGACTCAAACTTGCTGCAGATATGGTACTAAGCATTGATTTTAAGTGTGCACAGGAACAGGTAAGGGCACACGGAAGTCAACATCAGGTCCCAACTTCAACGACATTACTCATACGACACAGGTCAACAGACAACAACACGACCAACAACAGGTCCCAGGGTAATCACGCCAGGCAAGGAAGGTGAAATCCTTTCATATTCTTCTTTTTATGTAACAAGTGGACCCACAGCAACACTAGCTGACGGCGCCTTTTTTTCTTTTCTGTTCTTTTTCCCCAATTTGGACCGAATCTCAATTCATGTGTGTCATCGATAGATTGCAGGAATGGTATTGAATCATCATTTCCTGCCATGAATTTGCTTTTCTTTTTTCCAAAAAATTGATAAAAATGACAAATTCCGTGATGTGGTCCTCAATTGCATGAATGGAGTTTCTGCTATGAGTTTCTTTTTTTTTCTTTTTTTTTCCCTGAAAGTGGCAAATTCCGAGTGCCGTGATCCATCCTTTTTTTTGGTTCATTTTTCCTCCCTCATCCATCTTGAGCAAGATCATATGCTTCTCCTTCTCCTTCGAATCTCGATGGCATCTGTTAACATGTCTACTTTCATCCTCCTCCTTCCTGCTGGGCCTTCCCGCCTGATTCCCGCCATCTCTCTCT